TATATTGTTGTATGTTAAAGCCACAAGTTGCAAGACTTGTTACAAAGCTATGTTACATGGACAGGTGATAGCATAATGTCGCGCATGGTATTAAAAAAAAAACGTTGTATTTTCATGCATTATGCTTGTGTTGTATTTATAAAGATAGTAGGATCCTTCTTTGAAAACATCAAATTGGTCACCAATGGCCTAAGATGACTTAATTCTTGGTGAATCGAAATTGATTGAATGGTAAAATGGGGGTATTCCTAAAATGATATAATTTACCTCATACTAGTGCCAAAGAATTTATTTCGTTCACTTTCAGGCAGCGAGCAGGCCATGCTATGAAACAAATGTATGAATTACATGACAAAAAAAAAAGACCACGACTACGAGGAGTGAATGAAAAAAGTAATGCTTCCATGTTCGTAAATAGTAAACAGATGGAAGCAGTGACCCGCAAACAGTAGTAAAATGTATATATATATATATATTTTTTTTTTTACCGCCTCATTTGTTGTTACAGTGATTGTTTGCTGGCTTATACTTTGGTAAATAGAACCATCTGCAGGAACTTTAATTGCTGCACTTTAAGAAACGTGATGACATCGAGTTGTTGACAATAGAAAGTATCATCACTCCATAAATTCACCGGAAAGGGAAGACCGCTTATGGTGACTGCGTCTATATGTGCACTATATGATGCTAAAACTATAAATACAAAAATCATGTAAAAAAATCAAATCACAGGCTTCAGACGAACACATTATGGAAACAATGGTTTGGGATGCAGATTCCCCTATCCATGTTACTTTTCTGGAGTGTTGCACTTTGACGCTACAAACCTTATAACCGCAGTTATTATATATTAAAGGCAACATGGCAATGCGACATGCACACGCTTCACGTGCCACCAGCGGAGCAATTGAGAGACTGAAACTCGCCGCACTACGGCATTCACCATACAGACCCAGACCTAGTACCCGGCTGCGACTCTCATTTGTTCCACCCTACTTAGTGTAGACCTTCATGAACATCACTATCGATTCATTGAAGACGTTGTGATAGCTGTCAAGAACTGATTTCGGAAACAGAAAGTGAATTTCTTCCATAGCAGCTTTACAAAACCTTTTCATCGCTGGCAGAAGTGTATTCAGTTATCTGGTGAGTATGTTGAGAAATTTGTGCAGGTTTTTAAACCTATGCTAATTTAGGAGCGAACGGGGAAGAAATCCCCAGGATTACTTAGATACACTTTTTTAATATTTCCATTCATTCACGTGTAATTCTCACGAGGGCGTTGCGTTTAATTCAATCACGCCAAAGAATTATGCACAAAAACAGTATACTGTTTTATTGAAATCAAACGGACCGGAAAGCATACTGGAAGAACGCGATATTTTAACATTACTTTATGTAGATGCAAGGATTGCCTAGATAAATTTCAGTGGTGGTACAAAACACCAATCGAATAAAATGCACAAATAGTGATGCTTCCCAATCTAAATACACGTGTTCTTCTTTCACGTAGCACGGTTGCGACATTAGAGTGACAGGAGTGCAAAAAAAATTTCTTCCTTTGTTAAATAATAACCCAACCTATGTCTGAGACCTTCACTTATATCAGTTTTTAGTTTCTTGCTCCACCCCCTGTTCCCAATGGTAAACTGAGAGTGTCACGTAAAAACGTTGATTTCTATATATTTCGATCCTAATATTAGTTATCACAGCAGAGCAAGGACAGTAGCGGACGCCTCTGATAGGCATTTTCTCCGTTCAGAACCACGACCTAAAATAATATTTCATCATATAATAATTCCAATAATCCATCTCGGCCTTGAGATGATAGAAATATAATTATATGTAAAAATAAAAACAATTAAAAATAATTATAGGTACATTTTCTATAATAAAGCGTAAACTGAAAGTACCTTATTTTCAACTGATTATTCGAAAAGTGCACATGAGGCTAAAGAAGAAAACGATACAATTTCTTTTCTGCTGCTTTTAGATTTTATTTAAGACGTCGCGCGTAATAATAGAAGGGTTTAATTATTTACTCTGAGTACAATTATCAGTGCTGATGCATGAAAACTCTACATTTTTTACTTTATTTTTGTAAGACAAATATAGTGTGTCTGAAGGCACCATGCTCGATCAAAAATGGGCCGTTAAAATCGGCGCCTGCACGTAGCAATCCAAACTTTTCGTCAGAGGTCTAATTTACAGGTCGGGTTTTTCATGCAAAATAACAAAGCATGCCTCTTTTTGTGTAAAAAATAGGGTCAAAAAACTTGCCAGGGTCAACGGCGGGCGGCGACGCAGACGACCAAGTCGAGTGGCGTGGCGCGCTTGGCTCATGTACTGATAGATGGCGTCGGGAGCAGCGTCAGATGGTTTAGCTGGCCAGCGAATGAAAACAGATGACACGCAGACGAAATCCGTCGGCAGCAAAAATGCCGTTTTATGCAACCGATTTTTTTTTTTTCAAGTGTTGGTGCATTACAAAAATATTATGTTCATTTTAGTGAACCACGGTCGTCGCGAGCAGTCTAGATAAGGAGGTAGCGCCATCGATCAATACTTGTGCGATATATACGTCTCGCCACTCGACTCGGTCGCCTGCGTCACCACCCGCCGTTGACCCTGGCCATTTTTCGGTCCTATTTTTTACAGAAAAGGAGCCATGCTTTCTTATTTTACATAAAAAAAAACGACCTGCGAAATACACCTTTGATAAAAAGTTTAGATTGCTACGTGCGGGCGCCGACGTTTACGGCCTATTTTAGATCGAGCCTGGTGATTTCAAACACCCTATATAGATGTCAATAATAAAATGTCTATTCGTTTAATTGCTATAGAATTTTCCTTATAGAGATGTTTATGTTCTCATAACCTTTCATCGAGAGCCATACAAGAAAGCATGTTCATCCTGATGGATAATTTTAGTCCGCTACATTTATCAGACGAAATATCAAAATCCGATGATTACTACTGTATCAGCATCCCAGAAGAAAGAAAGAAAACAGTTTGGGATGAAGCCATGTCGATATATCAGTAAAAGAATACTTGAATATACACGCAGATAATTAGCATCTAGAGCTATTCTTTAAATAAATATATGTCTTGTACTTACTCCTAGGTGTACTTTTACGTTGCATGAGCATGACGTCTCCAGGAGAAATTGTGGAATTTAAGACAAAGAGGCGGGAAGATAAAATAATAACAAAATGATGCCTCAGTTCGGAAATTGAGAATTAACATATGAGTGAATGAATTGAATGCAAACAGTGCTCTCAAAATTAGTCATAAAGCGAAGGTTAGCGCATAGGCGAGATCGTAAATACTTAACGTGACTACACGTAGGCAAGAAAGCTTGGTTGTGTTATGGTTAGCAATAAATCTTGATTTGTGCTGCACTGAAATATCGCTTCATCAAATAACCACGATTGATATACAAAACCTTGAATCACGGGACTTTACTTGCAAAAAATTATCCATGCACCGTTTAACCACGAACAATAACTCCATCCTACACGCAATACTCCCCCCGGGCCCCATATCGATTGCTTCTCAAGATATGATGTCAAATAACCCAGCCGGGAACTGAATATTTCTTAATATCTTTATTGTCCTAAATTGTACCGTCGCGCTTCGAAAATCTATATAACGAACTGGGCATATTTTATTTTTGCCAACAATGGAATAAAAGGATATCATACTATTTATACTTCTTTCTTTTTAAAAACAGTCCAGGGACTTTAATTTCATTCAGTATTGTACAAATAATTCCCCATCACCGCTGGTCTTCAGCCGACTTAACGGCCTATGCAAAGATCATGGGTATTTGTGATAACCTAGAATTCATATTCATATAAACTACATTTAACAATATGTTTAAAGCATCATTAGGTCGAATATTATGAACCCCTCACCTAGAACATGGCGAACTCGGGAGCATGTTCACAGGCGCGCACCTACGAAAGACAAGCGAAAAGACAGCTTTTATAGTGGCCGCTTGGAGGATAGTACTCTGACATGTGCAGGAGCGCAGAATACTTTTTCGGGGAAACTAGCCGGCACATCCGGATCTTCGTTAATAACTGGAAAGCAGTTATGTACCCGTTACTGAAAAAAAGTTAATTATTACAATTACAATTACTTTATTTAAAAATGTAACTGGTTACAGTAATCACTTACTGCATCACAAAAGCAATTAAAAGTTACCAGAAAGTACATTATTACCTTTGCGTTACGTTTTAAACTTTTCTTTACGAAACGAAAAATACGTACATATATTCAAAGTGGTTACATATGAACAAATGATTACGAACTACCGAAGGCAAGTGAAAATGGCCCGTTTTATAATTCCAGAGAGAGCACGTGACGATCTTCGCTGGAGTATTGAGAAAAAAATAAGCCATCGCTAATAGAATTCGTCACTTCCTCCAGTAATTGAGATAGACATTCTGATACTTCTGGTATCTTCCCTACTGAAAATACCAGTACAACTTTTCTCTATCTGGATTATGGAACTGGAAATCTACCTGAATCCTTCCTGGATTTCGGGTTTTCGGAAATTATTCCTTTGCGTGCAAACTGAACTTCAATGTTTCCAGAAACAATTCCAGTTAGATTTTAATTTCCATAATCCATCTTGTGAAAAGTTATACTGTTTGTTGTTTTTTTTTTGGTGGCGGGAGGGGGGGGGGGAGGGTCGGTATCTTTTTTTACTCGTTTAGGGGTAAAAAGAAAAGCGTCCAAAGCGAGTGACGCACCGGGAGACAGAGCGGTTTGTTTCGTAAAAACTCCACGAAATTATTTCACTTCTTTCGGAGACATATAACTGATTACTCGTAATCGATTGCAGAAAAATAGTAATTGAATAACAGCGAATGTTAGTGCAGAAAAAGGTAATTTAAGCGTTTACACGTTACAATAATATGTAACTCGTTACGCACAAGTCTGCTGGAAGGTGACCATCCGTAATATGACGCAACATTTACATTTCCTTGCAGATTCAGCCCAAGGGCCGAAACGAACGCGGCAGACCTACACCCGCTACCAAACCTTGGAGTTGGAGAAGGAATTCCACTTCAACCGCTACCTGACGCGGCGGCGAAGGATCGAGATCGCCCATGCCCTGGGGCTAACGGAGCGCCAGATCAAAATTTGGTTTCAGAACCGGCGAATGAAAGCCAAGAAGGAGAACAAACTCCAGGGAGGACTGCTAGTGCCCAAGCCAGTGGACGAACTCGGCGGTGTGCTCCAGGACTCCAAGGGACTAGTGGCTACCACGTTAGACGGCGTGGTTTACAGCTGAGGAGCACCACTAAGTCGCAGCAATCAAGCCGCCATCACAGTGTACATTCAAGCCATCTCATCCGAGTCAACATGAATTGACATGCGCGCGCCTTTCACACACTAGCATACAGACTACCAGAACAACATAGCGTCCTTGCAGGCTCCAAAGACAGCGGTGACCCGTTTAGCCACCTACGGAAACTACAAAACACAAAAGACAAACAAACGATACTTTGAAACGACAGGCATCACCGACTACAGCTTTCAAGGTGAAAACGTTTCAGGGACAACCTTGCATGTTGGCAAGTGGCGCATTCATCATCACATTTTTCATGATTCTGATGAGCGGAGTGTTGTATGCTCGGGTATGAATTGGAATGGACGCTTGTTTAGGTCTTCGGAAGATTCGTGTTTCCTTGATACGAAGGCTCACCGACGCCGACAGATACGGGGAACTCGGGAGCGGTAAGAGGGGTCTAATATGGTAAGAGGCATTCGATGGGATGAGGAAAAGGGTGAACGCCGTCAAGACGTCCTGAGCTAAAAAGCCACCGTCACGCCGCACGAACACAAAGCCAGTGCCCACGAGCGAGGCATCTGCCGCCAAGCGCACCCTTCAGGTAGCTCCAAACCCTACCGCAACCTGACAGTCCAGCTCTCCTAATTTATTGCTCCGACATCCCGGCTCAGAACCTCTCTCCCTTATGCCTTTTGAGGCGAACGGGTGACGGCCCCACACGATCGCTGCGGTCTCGGCCAGCGCCGACATTCTTGCTCTACGCGCCCCCTGCACGTCACCGCAGAAGACGCTTTGCTGGCCATTTTCAGCCCTTTCTTTCTCGGCAGATCTCCCCGCACAGATCGTCCTTCACGAGCCACATCCAGGCACCCTTCGTTCAAAAAGCTATTTTTCAAACGCCGGACCGACAAGACTAAAAGGCACTGGAGACGCGCGGATGACACGGGCTGCGTACAGGAGGAAAAGAAGGGGCCAGGTGGTCGTCCGTGCTAGTTCCTGTTGCCGTTTTTCTTCCTCAGTCGTCTCCAGTGTTCCCTGATGGGTTTATGACGCCCCGCGCTCATTGTCTTGCGACCCACGCTCGTCGTCGGAACCATTACCGTAGAGGGGACTCGCCGCATGCTCTCTGGGCGCCGCTCGAGACGATAGGGGCCCCTCGGTGTCTTGGATCCGGCTGCAACAAAGACCCCCACATTCGTCCCGCCATTTAGCGACCCATTTGGGAGCCAAAGGCGGTTCTCAATGGAACCCCTGGGAGTCCCCCTCCCCCCAGTTCCCAGGACGAGCACCTAGGGACGACCAAGAAGGAGAGACCCAAGGGTTGCTGCGTGCCTAATTGCGGAAAGAGGAAGCTCAAGGAGACAGGTCACAAAGGGACCCTCGACCCCGCACCCTCGGTGACGCCGGTGCCGGCGCCTACGGACACAAACTGGAAACTGCATGCTGACGTGCCGCGCTCTTGCTCAGTGTGAGTGTCAGTGTGTGCCCGGGCAACCGTGAGCCGTCAGGCTCTCGCGCAGTGAAGGTAGAGAGTGTGTATAAGCTATATCTGGCCTCAGTGTGGACGGTTGGCGGTGTAAGGAACTGCGTACCGTAGCTGGCATCAAGATTTGTGTTCAAGGTAAGGCGCATTATCCTCGTGTTTCCTGAGAGAGTCGCCGTTGAGAGACGGAAAATGAAACATTTTCGTTGATCGTTCCTAGCCAAGAGTACTTTGAGAATGTGAAAAAGGCGCGAGTGTAAAGTCAAATGTTTGTTCCTAGTGTATCCGTGGCTTGGTGTTCATCATCGCGAAGGAATCGATGCGCCGATCCGCTCTATTTATGAATGTTTCGCGCACCTGAATGTACAGACTACCTCTCGCTTGCGAAGAAGCGTGTTCATAAAAATCAAAAGGCACTTATTCCGTTTTCGTTTCTTGACTTGACCCAACAATCCCGAGTTACTCTTACGAGTTTTCGCAGCTTTGGATTAGGGAAAAGGTCAAATATTATCACAAGCAGTAAGTCCGTAAGAACGACAACAGAGGTATAAACGCCACTGCCGCATATAGTGCGTTGCTGTCGAACTGCTCAAAGTTTCCATTTGATAGAAAATAACCAATAAACTCCGGTCTGTTTGTCTCAAACCCAATGTTTGTATTTAGTCCGCGGTAGCCACTGACATGAAAATCTCGCATAAATGTGTTTGATAAATACGTCTTGTTTGATAGAAACCTTAAAGTACTGAGAAATTAGGTCTTAATTTGAAAACATTATTTCGGCGATTCAAAAGACTTAGCCACGCAATGCCCTTGGCAGTTGGTAGGGCTAGAGAAGAGGACAGCACGAAATGTATACAATAAAGTATGTGTGCCCCCCCCCCCCCCCCCCTTCAAGAAAAAGTTTAATAACAAAGAATGATTGCTCTTCGATCTACACTACAAATTAAAATGAAGATTTGTCAGGGCAATCATAGTCGAACCATGAAGCCTGTTATTTTATAAATATTTCGGTGTCATAATTTGCATAACATTGTAAAAAGCCAAGTGTATTTTCAATTCAACTCCTTATATCACACATATAGAAGCTATGCATTTGCAGATTAATATAGCAGTGCTTTTTTTTTATTTTCATAAATCTAGGTATAATATTTGAATGAACTAGCATTTAAAGTATTACTCTGAACAATTTTTTTTTAAATTACAGCGAGGAATGATTTTGTCCGGCCAGGAACTGAGGGAGAGGAGGAGGCGAGAGCGCGCGGGGACGTAACAACGCTGAGCTTTGATTGGAAGAATTAGTGGGTAGACCTAAATCTAGCTGCACCTGTCTCTACTGTACTCGTAGAACGAGTTAGAACCCGAAACGCCGGCGTCCGGTGTTTGGCTCTCACATTCCAACGCGTTCGACGAGCGCAGTGAAGAAAAAGGCAGCTAGCTCTAGGTCTCCCCACGAATCAATCCAACCAGAGCTCGGCCTTCTGACGTCCTCGAGCGTCCTCGTTTCCTCCCCCCCTCCGTTTCTGCCCGCATATAGATGCACCACGTAATACGCTGAATAAGGAAAGTTTTATTTCTCCCTTATGACTGTGTCAACAACTCCGGTACCCCAACGCTTTTCTTCGGACGATATATATATTTGAATTCACAAAGCGACACGTCACAAATGAGAAACACAAATCCAGCAAATTTCGAAGGAAAGCCCCCTTCCTTAGAGCCACTATGCACGGCGTCGTTGTCATTCGTTATTTATAACCGAGGAAGAATAATTTTATTACAATCTTATTCCACAAACAAGCCCATCATCCGCCATTGTTCAGGGTAAATTTTATCGTGCAACACTTAATAATGGCAATGTGCTGGTATTTAGTAATTATTTTCAGCCGAACAATCAACACGGGTATCACCTGTTTGAATGCTGAACCCACTAAAGGTGAGTGTAATGAGTGTTTTTAAGCCTGGAGAGCAATCTTGCAAATGCGAAAGTTTTAGTGTGATTCGCTTTGAACATTTTTTTTTCGGCCAGCAAACTGCAGTCATTACCACAGTTTTGATAAACGTCCTCGCTGGAACCGATTATGGTGAGTATGCATATAGTCTATACTGATAAGGAAAAAAGAAAGAAACGCCGCGTTTTTCTAAAACTGTAACCTAAGATCTTGGTCAAGGGTCGGAAAACCACTTGTATACACTGTCGACTGATATGCACTCCCTGAGCCTCGACTTATATGCACAATCAGTCGATGCTTAGGGAGAGCAAACAATCTAATATTAACGTTTATGTTTCTCGAGTTCCCTATCTGTTGTTGAAAAATGTCAACATTGGTAGGCGCTCCAGAAGTAGCCACAAAAATGTGAGATGTACCTTAAGGTATTCATTATATGAGACTCAATCGGGCTAGATTACTTTTCCAGCTGGCACAGTTTTTTAAACCACTTTCTCTTTTCTGTGATTTAGGGGTTTAGAAAGTTCAAAGAAGCCAAGGTAGAATGAACTTCACCTTCTTCAGCCAGAGGCTAGGTACACTGGCACTAGTTCGCCAAAGAACTGCCAAAGTTAGGCTTCCTTGCTGCTAGTTTGTTTGGCCTCCGGCATCGTTTGGTAACAGGTATCAGATTAAGGCTTCCCTGCTGGTCCTTCGGTTTATACATGCCATATTTGGCTCAAGTCTGGCACTTTGGCAATTATGTGGTGAGACATTACTCGGGCATTAACTAACGCCTTAGAGCAAAACCGTATTAGGGCCAAGTCAGGCCCCTATTGGATTGCCACGTTTCGGCCAAATTAGACGTTGTTCTGGCGTGTCTGGGAATCGCCTTCCCTTTTGCAGCGGGTGATCAAAGAACTTTGGATTCTGGATGCCTCAGCATGTGGTCAATACCGGCCACTACTGACCTGGTTACATTTTTGACACACGGCCCCATTACCGTGTCACTGGTGGGATTGCTAAGCTCATCTGGCTGAACAATTTAACCGGCACCCATTACGGCGACTCCGTTCTCCGCGGGAAATAGCGTCTGGTTACCCCCGCCAGTACACGTGCACAATGCTCCCGTGTCTTGGCACTACTCTAGGGAAGCAAATGACGTAGCACCGTTCTAGCGAAGCGTCTGAGGTTACTGTTATTGCGATCAATGAATCGTTTCTTCCTCCTTAAAATGCCGTTCGAGAATGTTTTCAACCGGAATATTTGTGTTTACTCACTTGTTCAACATGTTGCCTATAGATGATATTAAAATAAAAAAAATGCCGATTCCGCGTTGTTTTTGCAAGTGAACTGATTGGACGGCCCAGGCCACTGCCCACTCTGCTGCACACAGAGTATAGACCATAATTCTTCACCACCATTAAAGAAATATATATAATTTTGCAAGCATTACATTGTCACGTAACATCCCGTTTCAAGACACTGTAACGTCAGAGTGTCACGTAACGCGACAATTTTCCCGCCAAATTTAGTAGAAAATGTTTCCCGCTATATTTAGCGGAAAAAAAGGGTTAACGCGGTGTCGCAGTTTCACGTGACGTCATGGGACGTCGCAATTCCCCGGCTGTTTATATCGTGGAGATTCCTCCGCTAAATTTAGTGAGAAAATGTTTCGACCATAT